GTGAATGGTCCCCACCTCATGCGTGAATTTGCCCAACTTTTCGTCATTTTTCATCAATAATAAGCAATTGTCACAGATTTATCTGATAGTCAGTGATGAATCCTGTTGTTTTGTTTCGGTCTGAAGATGTACTTTGGCAATATTGAAGCATAAAAAGCGAAATAAATCAAATAAAATGACTCTTCTCGAGTGACGGCCGAGACGCGCGCGCATTTTGCAATGGTTTAAACACGCTAGTTTGATGGTTGTTTCTTCGTAGCCCACAACAAGACTGCTTATGGTTCTAAAGGTAAAACGAGTGCTTGGCGCACAACGCGTCCATGAAAAATTCATGGGCATAGTTCGCGGGACATGTTGCTTGGGCCCGTGTTCGTTGTGTTTGCCGATGAGCAAATTTTCTGTTTGTCCACTTTGGATAAAAACAGTCAAAATAAACAGAAAACCTGACACAACAGAATAAACAGAAACCTAAGTTTGCACTGCGTGCTAATCGTATAGGCAGAGCTCGCGCTCATTCTGTACGATTCTCATAGGCCCACCTCTTTTCTTTTACGGTAATCTACCGTATTAAGATCAAGAGTCACCAGTCAGATTTCCGCACTAGAGCGCACAAACCCTTCTAAAATTTGTGTCCACTGCTTTTTTTACCAGCTTTTTAGCAGCTTTTTGTTTTCATTCGTTAATGATGGACCAGTTACTAAAACTACACTTTGTTTGTTTTTGAACACGATGGCCCACACTTGATCGATAGCGGTGTGTGCCTTTGGGTCAGTGGCGAGTTGATTTATACACTCACTCATTAGTGAATTACTCGCAGCGGAATCCCCTGCTCTTTCCAAATGAGGCAATTCAGCCCGAGTTAGATATTAACGTTAACATGTTGTAATTGAGCGTGAGCTTGACACTTTTCCTGCCAATCAAAATTATACTTTAGTTTGATAACTGTATTGCCCAGTGACGACAGAAGCAGCACCACGATTGGTCCTGTTTGCTTAAGTTCCCAGACTCTACACTAGTAGGCCTGATTGTCGTAGGTCAACCAGGCTACTGTGAGAGCTGAAGTTGGACATTCGGTAGGAAATTCGCTGAACAATTGAAAGTGGTCTTACAACATTGACTAACACTAAGAATCATCGAATAGAGTAACTAATGTTCGAAATGTGCCAAATATACGCTACTAATTTTTGTTCAATCGACGGTTTGCGACGGTCGGAAACCGTCGCAAACCGTCGGCTCGCCATAACTCTTTAAAAAATGGTTCGCTCGACCTGCAGTTTATACCATCTGATAGCTCTGCTCGAGATCTACAAGATGGTTAAATTCAATTTCTGAAAGAGCTCCATCTAGGATTGCGCCATGCACTCGACCTCCATCCCGAGAAGTAATGAATATACTTTGTGTATGTGATGCGCATATAAGTCCTCCTATGCAGCCTGATCATCCCACAGAAACATGGATCTCAACACCCTCAGAATACGCCACGTACCCAACCGGTCCACCATATGGTGAGATTGAATGAATGTTTTTTTTCGAATTTCACGATCTTTAATTCGTTCTAGAGCGCTAATTGGCTAACCGTGCGCTGATCAACCCATTCTTCCACTCCAAATGAGAATCTTCGAACAGTTTCCAGCAGTAGTAGTAGACCTATTATGTGACATTCCCCACATTTAGAGGAGATGATTTGCGGAAACCTGAGAAGATAGCCAGGAATCTCTCCACAGACGTAGACTCCAGTTACTTCTCTGTAAGGATTGATGTAGAATATTTGGTCACGGGTAAGCGCTCCGTCCGTGGTGTGGCCCCAAACATCACTCTCCGTCATGCCCTAAAATGAAAATCAGAGTTTTTGCTCTTCCAGATGACTCTACAGAGCTGAGGGGTGCACCGTTCGATTTCCCATGAAAAATACTACCGAATGGTGTACAACTCAGGTTTCACACAAAACTTTGTTTTTCTCACTTTTTTGCTCCCCATTGCCGATCGTCCTCCCAGCCCTTGGCGCCACGTGCGATTTAGCGAGAAATTCTCTCCACCGACGTGGACTCCGGTCACTTGTCTGTAGGAAAGAGGTAGATATTTGGTCACGGGTAAGCGCTCCGTCCGTGGTGTGGCCCCAAACATCACTCTCCGTCATGCCCTAAAATGAAAATCAGAGTTTTTGCTCTTCCAGATGACTCTACAGAGCTGAGGGGTGCACCGTTCGATTTCCCATGAAAAATACTACCGAATGGTGTACAACTCAGGTTTCACACAAAACTTTGTTTTTCTCACTTTTTTGCTCCCCATTGCCGATCGTCCTCCCAGCCCTTGGCGCCACGTGCGATTTAGCGAGAAATTCTCTCCACCGACGTGGACTCCGGTCACTTGTCTGTAGGAAAGAGGTAGAATATTTGGTCACGGGTAAGCGCTCCGTCCGTGGTGTGGCCCCAAACATCACTCTCCGTCATGCCCTAAAATGAAAATCAGATTTTTTGCTCTTCCAGATGACTCTACAGAGCTGAGGGGTGCACCGTTCGATTTCCCATGAAAAATACTACCGAATGGTGTAATTTGGAGTGGAAGAATGGGTTGATCAGCGCACGGTTAGCCAATTAGCGCTCTAGAACGAATTAAAGATCGTGAAATTCGAAAAAAAAACATTCATTCAATCTCACCATATGGTGGACCGGTTGGGTACGTGGCGTATTCTGAGGGTGTTGAGATCCATGTTTCTGTGGGATGATCAGGCTGCATAGGAGGACTTATATGCGCATCACATACAAAGTATATTCATTACTTCTCGGGATGGAGGTCGAGTGCATGGCGCAATCCTAGATGGAGCTCTTTCAGAAATTGAATTTAACCATCTTGTAGATCTCGAGCAGAGCTATCAGATGGTATAAACTGCAGGTCGAGCGAACCATTTTTTAAAGAGTTATGGCGAGCCGACGGTTTGCGACGGTTTCCGACCGTCGCAAACCGTCGATTGAACAAAAATTAGTAGCGGTATTGTACTACAAATTGGTCCAATCTAAGTGCTAACAGCCTACAGTGTCTGAAGTTATACGATTGTCAGCGGCTATTCGTGGATCTTGAATCCCGTCCTAATGACCGTACTCCTTCTGTGTCCCTTTTGAGTGGACGTTGTTCTTCTTCTTCTCCAAAATCACCTAGCCCAGTGTATTGCAAGAATTGCTGCCACAGACAGTCTCAACAGTATTGGGCGTTATCGTGTTGATCAATGCATAACCCGCTGCAATGACCTGTCTCATTAATTTGCGAAGCCGTTCCGCAAACACAAGTATTTAGTTGAGACGAGAGGAACTGCATTAGCAACTTGCAGCGGAAGCGTTTCTGTTTTTAAAGGCAAATGCCACGATAAATTAGATTTTAAAGAAGGGGGAGAGGTGTTTCCCACATAAAGGGAGACTGGACCCTTAAAGGTAACGATGCGTGGTGCTTTCACGGCTAAGGCATGCACGCATGCGTGACGTGATAAGGTTTCACCTGTTTCTTTGGAGCTTCCGTAATTCTGCCCGCTTGCGATGAGTGCCGGTCCCTAGCCGTCGGACTGATAATCCCCGAAACGTTTATTTTGTTGAAGTCAGCGCCATTTCGAGTTGTCCAGCGCAGAAAAGGCCGGGAATCGTAGAAAGCTAAAGTCTTGTCAAGCGGGTTTAGACCGTTCATCACTTTCGTTTGCATAACGCCACCACTTAGCAGTCCTACCTTTCTTTTCTGGTACCAAAATTCTCGTACCATCTGCTTCCAAACAGTATTCTGACCTTTACTATTCCGAAAAGTGTCACAGTTCAATACTGAAGTTGCCAGAACCTCCAGGGTTTTTTCATAAGGAGGGTAAAAAGGATAAAGCATTTGCCGTTGATCAATCCCTTTTTGGGATGCGGCACGCATTCTACTTCCATTTGTACATTCGTAGTGGCGTTTGAATGCGATGTTATACAATGACTTGCGGGGGCCAGCCGATGTACAAGTCAGTGTTTTTATCCTCCCAGACAAGTCTGGTACCAATTAACCGACCCCGGAGGGATGGAAGGCTTGGTTGGCCCGGGCGACTCACGACCCAGGATTTGATCCCCGGACCGCTCGCGTGATCGAAATTGCCTGATTGGCACCGTCGGCAAGAGAAAAACGAGAAGGAATGCCTTTCAAAGCTTTCAGCTTAACAACTGACCAGTTCGTGGCTACAGATCAAATGGAGTAGGTATGCCGCTGACGGCGTCGAAAAGCGCACTTAGGATATCCAACGAGGCGAGTCGAGTAGCCGCACTTAGTTATCTGCAAGAGCGCGGTGGATCTAGAGGCGGCTTGATAAGATTGTGGGTCGCGCTTCAGCAGAGTTTTGGTCATCGCTCGGTTCTTTCATTTTTCCAGACGTCACTGGGAGGCAGAACGTCGCGAGCACCACGAAAGAAAAAAACGAGGGTAGCCGAAATCAACTAGAATAGGGACGACCGATTCGAGCTCCAAAACTTGTCTATTTATCATCTGCTTCGAACTTTTATTCCTTTGTCACTACTTGCTGAAATTTTGTGCTGTTTCAGCCTTGTCCATGCCATTTCTTTGCTTTAACCCTAACCTTTAGAACATCGATGTGGTTACTTTGTGTTTCTATCCTTCATCTTCTGTTATTTGTCCTATTTCTTCACTCCATCCATTTATCCCGGTTTATGTTTTCGTAATGTTGGGTCATAGGATTACTTGATCGCACCAACTCATGACGTCTCCTCGATTCTGTAGTCTAGGAAGGTGACAGGGCGCATGACAATATCGCCATTTCGTGGCTGCCCTTTTTTCGAGTCGAGCATTATGTAGCGTTTCGACTAGGCATAGTGAGTCATGATTTCTTAGCTTTCATGGACCACTTTTGTCCACCGACTTTAAATCATGAGTTCTTAGGTTTCCTCGATATGGCAATGATCCCGTCAGCAGTGCGAGCTAGATGACGACGAATCACAGGTGAAACAGAACCCGATATTGTCGGCTGGTGTATCTTTATGAGGGTTTGTGGGGTTCTCTGGAGTCATATATTCCCTCGTTTACGGAAGAGCATTATAATGCCGGCAGAAATTCGTTATTATGAGGGCTATTTTGCCGTTGGCGTTACCCGTATACGACTCAAGGTTTTGGAGTTTGATGTCAACGGTAATAATTCTTCGTGCGAGAAGGACACACTGCATGTGTTTGACGTGAGTACATCTCCCATAACGTCAACTATCAGAGTTATGCGCGAAAATTTATAAAGGATAAAAAGTTTGAGACAGAGTTGAATAGAAATTATAGAAAATTTGATGGACACATAGCCGATTTGATAGCGCTAATTTTCTCGGAAGACTCCTTTTTCTAATTCGTCGAAATTTGTTGACGTGAAACGCGTTCGGGGTTCGACTCGAAGGAGCTCCGGCGCCGGTTCGGTTCATATCACATTGGTGTTTGTCCAAGCGGCTCAAACGTTGCATAGCTTATCCGGAATTTTCAATCCCATCCCTTAGGATATCTCGTAGTACCTTCCATCCCATCCAGCTTTAGCCCCGATCCGTAGTTACGAAACTTTCTTGGCCGATCAACACCTTCATGCACTGGCTGGTGTTTTATAGTATGTTCTGAATGTGGAGACCCCCCTCCAGTACTTTCCTCAAAAACGGCGTCGTCGAGAGGGGGTTGTGTATGGTCATGAGCAGAAAATTTACCATTTTCTCAACTATACCTATTCTCGTGAGCTCATCAAAAGCCGTTAAATAACTGCCTTTTCTATGAGGCCCTCAAATTTCGGACGTATTACTCCCTGCTAATTCCAAAGTGCACTTCTCTTACCCAGGCAGGAATGCGACCCTCTCGGAGGTAAGCAATGGACGTGATCTTGCCTAAGCAGTGTCAGTAAGACCGAGACGAGTACTTTAATGGCCTCGAAAATTTGACGTTATCTTATTGTGAATGGGGGTGTAACTGTGCAGAAGGTGCGTCCTCCTCTACAGATTCTGCCCTGCCATAACGGAACCGCTTTGCCTTTCTCTCAGTCGAGCCCTGAGTGGCGCCTGAATCTTCTGAGAAGAAGCATAACTCTGAAACTTGCAGCGATTACCAGTCTGATCTTGATCTGGCTAGGGCGGACGTGCAAATTCAACAAGAGGTGGCATGCATCAAATATCTCTAAACATCTGACTGTATTCCAATTTTTAGCATGAAACCTCGATCGACCCGTCTCCCGTGCACTCAAAATCAAGTGTAACAACCACACCCGGACCAATTATTGGTGCGCAATAAGAATTATCTATCTGTCCGCATAGGAAGATTGATTGTCTTTTGCAGGTCAGTTCTGCGGGCGACGTAGCAATGTCAGCGATCTGAGTTTGAGCACAATGAATGCCTTTGACGTTGTGGTGGCACACAGATGCCATCCTTCCACAAGCAACATCCTGCAAAAGGATTCAAACTTCATTGGAACGCTTTTCGAGTGACGGCTGGAGGTATGGGTTCAAACAACCTTGGTAAGGTATGCGCTAGCACCCTCCATACCGACACTGAGCACATTGCAGTTCCATGCTCGGCTGGGCGTGAATTCACGTGCGGACAAGACCAATGTATTCCAGTCCAGCTAGCCTGTGATCGTTTCTCTGATTGTCCTGATGGATCCGACATCATCTACTCCAAACAGTTCGCAGCTAACTGTGAAGGTATACCTAATTTTTGATGATTGATATTGATGTTTGTAGAGAGTGAAGTTGAGAGTGAGTGAGAGTTGTCTGGAGGCGCTGATAGTGTACTGTAGATGGATTTAAGTTATTAAACATACATGAAAAGCAGGAAAACTACAATGTAAAAGAAGGTACATGAAAGTAGGTCAAATATGAATAAATGTTTCTTGAAGTCCTTTAACTCTTTGCAAACGTTACTTCCACATCATTGCAAGGTTCGGGATCGTAGAAGGATCGCCACTTTGTCCTATCTAAAGCATCTTCTGATGTGTTCTGACCACTCTCCACTCTCTCCACTCTTTGGAGCTCCTGGTCATTTGATGGTCACTTCAACTTCAGGACTTTCAATAAGGGGTCTTCTGCATTCTCATCACGTCTGCGTTTCGTGGTCGCAGTTATTACGTCTAGTTGCAGCAGTCTCCCTTGACGTCTCCTTTGTGATCCTGACTAGCCAGCAAGTCCATCTCAGCATTCTCGTTTTGGTGAAATGAAGCTGTCTTTTATGGATGCTGCCTTTAAAGGCAAAGTTCGGGATTTCTGGCGAAATTTAGGTTTTCCCCGTCAAATATGCAGCAGTACGCAAGGGCAGACCATGTGCAGAAGTGGCGGGGCGATTTGACAAGGTTAAGGCCGATGTCATAGTTTGCGAATCGAACGATTCGTTAGCGAATCGTTGGAGCATTGGCGCCGCCCCAACCCATTGAGCCCGCCCACTGTTCCATGCGACCTTCCAAACAACCACATGGAACACTAGATGTTAAGTTGTTATTTGGAAGGTCGTAGAGGAATATTTAGCGGATTTCAACTGCGAAAACCAACATCAAAGCCTATGTTAAGACCATTTCGAGAACCTAGTCATTCATTCTAGTGATAATCAAATTTTTGAGATAGGAAAAAACAAAAAAAGCGCAGGTAAATAGAAAAAATAGCGAAATTAGAAGCAATCAGTTTTCATTGCTGACTTTTTGTAGCCGTGTCGGTTGCTGGCATAAAGCCAACAGTTGTTTGTAGACACGTCCAGACACGTAATTCTCCCAGCCCTGGCTTCTAAGCGACTAACGAAGAGAAATTTCTTATTTTGGACTTTTTTGAGAGTACTTTCTGCTTTTTTCTTCAGCTTTGATCACTTAGCACCCAGTACTTCATAGTTGAACAGATAAGTCCCACGTTTTATCTCGGAGTTTTGTCTAAGCTCTATCTCGCTTCTTCCGAGCAGCAATTGCTGGGACTACCGCTGTCCGGTGCACGTTGTCTTTGAGGACTCTGTAGAACCGCTGATCGCACATAACAGCGATCTACCTCTATTTCGTTTATCTTAACCTCTACTGCTTAGTCTACGTTACCATCAGCGGTGAAGTGCACTCCTTATAGCGAAATTACTCTCGATTTTCCTGCATAATTCTTCGGCGATTGCGGCTCCTGTGGCCATTTTCGAAGCACGGGAACTCCGGCCCTCTTGACTAGAATTTCACAGTGCTTGCCAGTTTTGCAACTCCAGAACTTTTCTCTGCTTTCCGTTGTCGCGTGATGTCGTCAATATAGAGGATGATTTTAACCCCTAGGAGGTTTTCTTCACCAGAGAGAAAAAAAAAGAAAATTGTCATAAATCCAACTGACGAGCGGTTGGATAAACTAGAAACACTGCTACAGATTCGATCTTCATTCATGAAGTAGTGGAAGAGCTCCAGAGACCCTCTATGCGTTCTTTAGGGCACTTCGGATGTAGGACGTTCACCATGAGTTTATAGCTTCATGGTAACTAGCAGTTGAGTCAGTTTGCCATCATGCCATAGGAAATGCGAGGCAAGGAGGAAGGCGCGCTGCATGCATGGCCCCGGATTTAAGTCGAACTTTGAATCCCTTCTGGACCTTACGTGTTCCCGGGTTGGTTTATTGGTTCCGATTCAACGGCCTGGATCAATGCACTGCCTGTTATGGATCGACTAACTTTGCATAGGCCAACTGCACAGTCAATCTTTGTATGAACCTGAATGTGTGCTGTCTTCGTATGTGTGGCGCACCCTGGAAAATATCTTCTACAACAATAGTTGTTTACCGTCAATCATTCCATGATTTTGAGTTTGACTGCCTTTTCGCTCACTTCATATGGAGAATTTGGCATTTGCTACTAGTAGTGAAAAATGTGATTCTATTATTGAAATCTGTTGTTACAAAAATGTGACGAAAAATTTAGCCAAGGGCTTGGCAGTGTGAGATAAGCCATAAGGCGAAGCCCATGCCTAATGGTTGACTTGGGATGTGGTCGAATTCAACTTTATTCTTGAAATAGAGCTTGGTCACCGCCCAGAAGAAGGCCTTTTTGAACCCACCTTCCGGAAAAGTCGTCAATCTGTGGACTGAAGTCATTCTAATAAATATTTCCAGATTTGGACACCGATCCATTGATATCGGTCTCGGGCGCTCTCGTGTTGCTGCTTTCTGGTGGTGTTGTTCTGATACTCGGATGCCTCTGCGTATCCGTCTGCATCTGTTGTCGTTGTCTCAAACCAGTTCCACAAATTAAAGGTTTCCGAATTGCTTTTGAAGAAATGACTATGTAACTGTACTTTTGCGAAAGTGCTCACTCGTTTCAGATGAGTCTCTGAATTACGGTGGCGGCACGTCGCCTCCTGAACCGCACCAATTTTGCCCTCCATCACCACCAAAATTGCCTCTACCACAGACGACGTCCGCTTTCACGCCGAGGAAACAAGTGTAAGTTTGCTGAAGTGATTTTGTGATCGACTGTAATTGCCTTTCCTTAATGGACAATTGAGAATAGCAGGGCGCTTTTGAGGTGAACTTGGACATTTCAAGGTTAGACCGCAGATGGGAAGGAACATAGTCCCTAGCTTGGCAGTTTGTAATCCAATACGTAACTTCGAGATAATCTCGATCTCAATTTAGCTAATTTCGAAGCTAATCGATCTACTATTATCAATCCCTCCAACGATGGTTCGAGAAAAGGGTATCGGTCCCCACTAGCCTACTTGAAATCATTTCACTGTTAACAACTTTTGTTGAAAGTAACAACTTCTGACGAAAGCATAGTTTTCCGTCAACACCTGATGATGGTGGCTACCGCATCCATTCTAACTCGTAGGATCTGCTGCTACATGTAACAGTAAAGTAGCCGATCGGCTTGGCTGCATCCACCCACTACTACTGAAAGTGCCACGATCAGGGTCAATCATTGCTTTGGGCGAATTTTGTGGTTGTGGCCATTTCCCAATATTGCCAAGAACTTGTCCTTCTGACTCCCGAAAAATGAAGCGCCTATTCCATCAAATAAAAATCACTTCCGAATACGAACGCCACCACTTCGATCTTTCATTAGGAGGTGCACAACAGTTGGCTGATCCTAGCCGCGGCCCCACGGGCTGATTATTTTTTGTCCGGATGAGAAGGGGGTAAACGGTTCACTGTAACGGTAGATCTTCTACGTTTAGCATTTATTTTCTTAAATTTCTGCCTGAATTGTATCGAAAACCTGTCAACAACACCCGCTACCACCCGACAAGCTTCAGCTGCCGGTATACCAAGTTGGCGAACGATCCCCTTTTGACTTTTGACATTCATCAACCGCCATCATATACGATCCCCTCCAAAAACCTCTCCGTTGAGAATTGCGGTAGACCCCATTAGCCGTCATCCCTGCTCCCCTACGTTCCTCTTCATATTACAGCCCATTGCGGAGAGCGGCGGAAATGTACCTGAATATTTTGAGAACCACCCGCTGCTTATGCACATGTGCCTGCCTGTATCCCGGTCGAATGCACGACAGCTAGAAGGCAGAGACGCAGACGGGTCAGCGGATGAGTCGCAGCAAATGGGGTGATGGGGAGCCTATCGCAATTCCTTCTCTCAAACCTGGCGCGAAATCGCTGCATTTACGACTCATCTTCGGGCCCCTCTGCGCCTCTGCCTTCTCGCCGCGCGACGGGCCTCCTTGTCCGATACCCGGTAGGAGTGGCACGCATCGCCTAGAAAGATTGCCACTTTGTGTGATAATGCGTCTATTCCTTTCCCACGTTCCCCCAATGAGCCTGATATTCGTCACTGTAATTCTATAAGTGCTATCTTGATTTTCCAGAGGCGTTACCATTGCTCATGACGGCTACACACCAGGACGATTCACAGATGAGTTTGGAAGCCCCATCAACGCAGATCATCACGACTACGCGTATGTTAGGAACGATGTGCACCGTAATTTATTGTAATGATCATTAAGAAGATTGTCACACTAGAATGATATAATAACTGTCAGAAATGGGTCCATACTGAGCGAATTGTCGCCGAAGTCCCTTGGAGATATCAGTGATCCTCCTTACAAGCAATGCAATTTTTTCGATGATATTTACAGCTCATGCTTTCAACAGGGTAGGCATATAATGCCGACCGTACTCACATTGATCTCACTCTTATGCTACATTAAGATTCGTTTTTGATTGCTGTCGGATTTTCTTCGCGTTAGACGGGTATTTTGTTTTATAAATATTTTACTAGTGTTTTTTGTTGCTGGAAGGGAAGAAAAAACCAGATTTATGTTCTCGCAAACTATTCTGTAGAACAGTTCCTAGC